AACCCAGAACCGCACAGCTTCATGGAAACTGAACAACTTGCTCTTGAATGTTAACTGGATAAACAATGAAATGAAGGCAAAAATAAAGATGTTCCTTGAAACCAACAAGAATGAAGACACAACATACCAGAATCTCTGGGACACATTTAAAGCGTCTCTAGAGGAAAATATACAGCAATAAGTGCCCACATGAGAAGTAGGAGAGATCAAAAATTGACACCCTATCGTCAAAACTGAAAGAGCAAGAGGAGCAAGATCAAAAAAACTCAAAGTCTAGCAGAAGACAAGAAATAGCTAAGATCAGAGCAGAACTGAAGGAGATAGAGACACAAAAAACCCTTCAAAAAATCAATAAATCCAGGAGCTGGTTTTTTGAAAAGATCAACAAAATAGGCAGACGGCTAGCCGGATTAATAAAAAAGAAAAGAGAGAATAACCAAATTGATGCCATAAAAAATGATAAAGGGGATATCACCACAGATTCCACAGAAATCCAAACCATCATCAGAGATTATTACAAACAACTCTATGCACACAAACTAATAAACCTGGAAGAAATGGATAAATTCCTGGACACTTGCCTCCTGCCAAGCCTAAACCAAGAAGAAGCCGAAACCCTGAACAGACCCATAACAAGGTCTGAAGTTGAGGCAGCAATTAAGAGCTTACCACCCCAAAAAAGCCCAGGTCCAGATGGGTTCACAGCTGAATTCTACCAGACATACAAAGAGGAGCTGGTATCATTTCTTCTGAAACTATTCCAAACAATACAGAAAGAGGGAATTCTTCCCAAATCATTTTATGACACCAACATCCTGATTCCAAAACCCGGCAGAGACTCAACAAGAAAAGAAAACTTCAGGCCAATATCCATGATGAACATAGATGCAAAAATCTTCAATAAAATACAAGCCGATTGCAACAGCACATCAAAAAGCTTATCCACCATGATCAACTAGGCTTCATCCCGGGGATGCAAGGCTGGTTCAACATACGCAAGTCTATAAACGTAATTCACCACATAAACAGAACCAAAGACAAAAACCACATGATTATCTCAATTGATGCAGAGAAGGCCTTTGACAAAATTCAACAGCCCTTTATGCTAAAAACCCTCAATAAGCTAGGTATCGATGGAACGTATCTCAAAATAATAAAAGCTATTTATGACAAACCAACAGCCAATATCATACTGAATGGGCAAAAACTGGAAGCATTCCCCTTGAAATGTGGCACCAGACAAGGATGCCCTCTCTCACCACTGCTATTCAATATAGTATTAGAAGTTCTAGCCAGAGCAATCAGGCAAGAAAAAGAAATAAAGGGCATTCAAATAGGAAAGGAGGAAGTCAAATTGTCTCTATTTGCAGACGACATGATTGTATATCTAGAAGACCCCATCGTCTCAGCCCCAAACCTCCTGAAACTGATAAGCAAGTTCAGCAAAGTCTCAGGATACAAAATCAATGTGCAAAAATCACATGCATTCCTATACACCAATAACAGACTTAAAGAGAGCCAAATCAAGAAGAAACTTCCATTCACAATTGCCACAAAGAGAATAAAATACCTAGGAATACAACTAACAAGGAATGTAAAGGACCTCTTCAAGGAGAACTACAAGCCACTGCTCAACGAAATAAGAGAGGACACAAACAGATGGAGAAACATTCCATGTTCATGGTTAGGAAGAATCAATATCGTGAAAATGGCCATACTGCCCAAAGTAATTTACAGATTCAACACTATCCCCATCAAGCTACCAATGACCTTCTTCACAGAACTGGAAAAAACCACCTTAAACTTCATATGGAACCAAAAGAGAGCCCGCATAGCCAAGTCAATTCTAAGTAAAAAGAACAAAGCGGGGGGCATCACACTACCAGACTTCAAACTATACTACAAGGCTACAGTAATCAAAACAGCATGGTACTGGTACCAAAACAGAGATATAGACCAATGGAACAGAACAGAGGTCTCGGAGGCAACACAACATTCCTACAACCATCTGATCTTTGACAAACCAGACAAAAACAAGCAATGGGGAAAGGATTCCCTGTTCAATAAATGGTGTTGGGAAAGCTGGCTAGCCATGTGCAGAAAGCAGAAACTGGACCCCTTCCTGACACCTTAGAGTAAAATTAACTCCAGATGGATTAAAGACTTAAACATAAGACCTAACACCATAAAAACCCTGGAAGAAAATCTAGGCAAAACCATTCGTAGGTGTAGGCAAGGACTTCATGACCAAAACACCAAAAGCATTGACAACAAAAGCCATAATAGACAAATGGGACCTAATCAAACTCCACAGCTTCTGCACAGCAAAAGAAACAATCATTAGAGTGAATCGGCAACCAACAGATTGGGAAAAAATTTTTGCAGTTTACCCATCTGACAAAGGGCTGATATCCAAAATTTACAAAGAACTGAAACAGATTTACAAGAAAAAAACTAACAAGCCCATTCAAAAGTGGGCAAAGGATATGAACAGACACTTTACAAAAGAAGACACACGTGAGGCCAACAAATATCTGAAAAAATGCTCATCATCACTGGTCATCAGAGAAATGCAAATCAAAACTACATTGAGATACCATCTCACGCCGGTTAGAATGGCGATCATTAAAAAATCTGGAGACAACAGATGCTGGAGAGGATGTGGAGAAATAGGAACACTTTTACACTGTTGGTGGGAGCGTAAATTAGTTCAACCATTGTGAAAGACAGTGTGGCGATTCCTCAAGGACATAGAAATAGAAATTCCATTTGACCCAGCAATCCCATTACTGGGTATATATCCAAAGGATTACAAATCGTTCTACTATAAGGACACGTGCACACGAATGTTCATTGCAGCACTGTTTACAGTAGCAAAGACCTGGAACCAACCCAAATGCCCATCGATGATAGACTGGATAGGGAAAATGTGGCACATATACACCATGGAATATTATGCAGCCATCAAAAAGGATGAGTTTGGGTCCTTTGTAGGGACATGGATGAACCTGGAAACCATCATTCTCAGCAAACTGACACAAGAGCAGAAGATCAAACACCGCATGTTCTCACTCATAGGCGGGCGTTGAACAATGAGAACACATGGACACAGGGAGGGAGCACTACACACTGGGGTCAGTTGGGGGGAAATAGGGGAGGGACGGTGGGGGGGTGGGAAGCTGGGGAGAGATAGCAAGGGGAGAGATGCCAGATGTAGGTGATGGGGAGGAAGGCAGCAAATCACACTGCCACGTGTGTTCCTATGCAACAATTTTGCATGTTCTTCACATGTACCCCAAAACCTAAAATGCAATAAAATGAATGGGAAAAAAAAAAATTAAAAAAAAGAAAAAGAAAAACATAGCATCTTTTTTTTTCTTTGCTGTAAGATGGATTAGTCCCTTGAGTCTCAACATAGCATCTTTATGTGAAGAAAAACATCCCAGAAGATTATGATTTTTACCCCAACTCAATCATTTCAAATTTTGCTGCACATTGAGATCACCTGGGAAACTTTTAACAACAACCCTGATGCCCAAAGTTATATCCAGTGCTAATTAAATCAAAATGTCTCATGTTGAAAATGAGGCCTTTATTAAAGCTTTTCAGGTGATTTTAATGTGCAGCAAAATTTGAGAGCCACTGCCTAATTTAGTTTAGGACAAGAAACTGCTCCTATTTGGTGGGACCTTGGGCAAGTCAGTTTTAAGATTTGTTTCCCTGACCTGTAAAATGAATGTTAGATTAAATGTCATGTAAGGTCTGGTCCTTTCTGGCATATAACTTCAAATTCTGTGATTTTAATATCATTTCAGAGATGAAAACTACTTGAAGCACTATAGACATATCCATCTTAATTGCTAATGTTACCAGCTTTTTAAAAAGTGCTGATATTGTATAGACCTATTACTAAAATGAGATTACCCTTCCCTTTGTTATTTTGAGCCTCATTCTAGACACTGAGGGCAAATGGAAGCACATAACTTATGTAAAAGAACCTCTTGTTTTCTGATACACAGCATCAGTTGGTAACTTAGGAATACAGTTACATATATCTGAAGAGCTGTTTCTGTTCATAAATATTTCAGTTAAACTAATTGAAGATACCTGCCATTCATATTACACTGTGTCATGTTACACTGCCTTGTTAGCACTGCTTATTTTAGGATTGCTGTACCTATCATTGATGTCATGTGAGCATGAGCTTATTACTAACATTTTCTAATAATTATGCAAAAGCAATTTGAAATAATTTTATTTGTTATAAAGCACTTTTGTTATGCATTTTTTGGGAAATAATTTAAAAAATGGGTGGGTAGGAGATAGTGAACTGAACTAAAATGCAGGGCCTAACATCTTAAAAAAGAAACCACTACTGTGTGGCTGAAATGTAAACATATACACATAGACATAGAATGCATGAGGCTGGGCGTGACGGCTCAAGCCTGTAATCCCAGCACTTTGGGAGGCTGAGGCAGGCAGATCACTTGAGGCCAACCTGACCATCATGGCCAAACCCTGTCCCTACTACAAATACAAAGATTAGCCAGGTGTAGTGGCACAAACCTATAGTCTCAGCTACTTGGGAGGCTGAGGCATGAGAATTGCTTGAACCTGGTAGGTGGAGGTTGTGGTGAGCCAAGATCACTCTGGGCAACACAGCAAGACTCTAGGTCAAACAGTAAATAAAAACATAAAATAAATTACATTTGATGAAAGGTTTTATGGATAGAAAAACATATAACGGGGAAATATTATTATATATATAATCATCAACAGAAACACGTCTTCTAATAGCGTATTGGCTTGCATTTTAGTTCTCATATTTTTGCTAAAAGGCAAGAAATGAAAACAAGAAATTGCCCTTATGGTACTGTTCTCAACTAGAAGATTTTAATTTCAGGGCCTCTAGGAAAGTTTCCTCTGTACCCTTTTTAAAAAATGTCTTCAGGTCTAACAAATGATAACTTCTATTGTTACGAATGTTTTTCCTTCCACAGTGTGGCCTTGGAGATATATTATCATATCCGGCAAAGGTGAGCTTTTTAAAAACCTGTCTTGTGATTCTGGCTAATTACTTTTCAAGCTATCAAGCATTTTAGGTCAGAGCTCTAGACATCATGAGCTGTACTGGGCCTGCTGAAATATCTAAGCAAATTATTTGTGGTTTTTTTGGTCCTTAAGACTCTTTTAATTCTTAAATGATTGGGAATCTCAAAATATGTGTTTATATTGATTATATTGATATTTACTATTGTAGAACAATACAATTGAGATTTTTTTCAAACTCTATTTTTAGTTTAGATTTCACATCCCTACCACTGTTGATATCTTGAGCTAGATAACGCTTTGTCATGAGGACCATCCTGTGCATTGCAAAAAGTTCAGCAGCACTGATGACCTCTACCAACTAGATGTCAGTGGTAACCCATGACCCAGGCTCTGACAACAGAAAATATTCCTTGAGAACAATATTGTTAATATAATTTTTTAATGGAAAAATACCTTTTCTACAACAAAACATTGAGTAAAAAGCATGTCATATATCTATATTATCACTAATGTTGCACTTAATAGAAGACATCTGGATTCTTTAGCTCTTTCTTTGCAATTTGCTTTAAAGAAGCAATAGGATGGCCAGCTGTGGTGGCAGTCACCTGTAATCCTAGCACTTTGGGTGAGGCCAAGGCAGGCAGATCTCTTGAGGCCATGGGATTGAGACCAGCCTGACCACCATTGTGAAACCTGTCTCTACTAAAAATACAAAAAATAGCTGGGTGTGGTGGTGCATGCCTGTACTTTAAAAAAAAGATCAAGGAGAAATAACATGACCTAATCTCATGCAAATATGTAGTTGGTAAAAGGTGCACTTTTAAAGCTTTGAGACCATTGTAGGTATTCTTTAATAATAAGTGAAAACTTCACAAGTGCTACTTTCTTAAATTACAGTGGCATTTTACATATTAATAAATTTATTCCATCAGTACTCACTAATTTGTCTTGCATGATAAATGGATCTTTTCCCCCATATTTGCACTTACAATATTATGCATTCGTTATTTGGAATATATTGGTTTATGTTTTCTTGCATCAAAAATCATTTTTAGTTTAACCACCAATCTTGTTTTAAACATCTTTTAAGTATTGAAAAGCGTAAAGCCTGCAGTAGAAGGAATGAGTTTTTCAAAGTCCTCAAGAAAGCATAAATTTTACCATTGGGAACAAATGCTTATTTTCCTTGAAGTGACAACCTCACTTCATTTATTTTTTAGAATGATAGTTGTACTTTTTTTTTAGACTGAGTCTCTGTCACTTGGCTATAGTACATTGGCATGATCTCAGCTCAAGCAATCCTCTTACCTCAGGCTCCTGTGTAGCTGGGACCACAGATGTATGGCACCATACCTGGCTAATTTTTGTGTATTTTTGGTAGAGACAGAGTTTCGACATGTTGCCCAGGCTGGTCTCGAACTTCTGAAGGAGCTCAAGTGATCCGCCTGCTTTGGCCTCCCAAAGTGCTGGGATTTTACAGGCATGAGCCATTGCACTGGCCCAGTTGTACTTTTAAATAAAAATGATGTTCTGTGAAAAAGTGATTGTTCAGCTTACAATTAAATCATGAATTTTTAAAAACACAATCATACTACAGTCAGCAGAAGCACTTCTTAACTTTCCACTTTCGACTGATTCAGAATATTAAAGACACATGTCACGATTTAGTAACACCATTAATTTTTACTGCCTCAACAAAAACATTCTTAAGTATTTCAGGCTATCTTTTTTTTAACTGTAAGGGACAATAAAGAATAGAATTACTATTAGTGTAATTGGTACCACTGTCTTGATTTAGGCTGAGAAACCAGCAATTTTATTTACTTTTGCTTTTATACAGTTATGGCAAGTGTCTATGAAAAAGCAGTGTCTTTGTATTACTTTCTTAATTTGTTAAAATTTTTAAAATTATCTTTATCAGGTTTAATTAGTATGATTATCAGAATAGTGTCCAGCGGGCGCAGTGGCTCAGGCCTGTAATCCCAGCACTTTGGGAAGCCAGGCAGGTGGATCACCTGAGGTCAGGAGTTCAAGACCAGCCTTGCCAGCATGCTGAAACCCCATTTCTACTAAAAACACAAAAGTTAGCTGGGCATGGTGGTAGGTGCCTGTAACACCTGTAATCCTAGATACTTGGAAGACCGACGCAGGAGAATTATCTAAACCTGGGAGGTGGAGGTTGCAGTGAGCCAAGATCATACATACCATTGCACTCTAGCCTGGGTAAGAAGAGTGAAACTCTGTCTCAAAAAAAAAAAAAAAAGGAACAGTGTTGACCTCTTAGGCCTTCTGGAAAAGGGTCTTGGGGATCCCCAGAGATCCCCAGAGCACATTTGGAGAATGACTGGTTTATCACACAGGCACAATGCATTAGTTTTATGAAATTGAAAGTTTATCAAAGACTGGCCTCTTTTAAAAAAAAAGGCAGATGAGATTTTTCATTCGAACAACAGAAAATAAATATATCATGAGAGTATACTACAGAGGAGTAAAAAGAAAGGAAGCTAGGAAATCTGAATCACATTTACATTTATTAATGTCCTAAAGACTTTACTGCCTACCACTGCTGCTTTGTAAAACATTCTTGTGTTTCAATGTGTGGTTAAGAAGAGTAAAAATAAGTTTGGTTTATTGCCATTGCCTGTTAGGGAGGGTCAATACCTATAGGCAGATCTTACCGGTTATTGCGAAAAAGACTTCACAATACAGGACACATGTGCTAAGGAAGAAGAGGTCGGGAAACCCTCTACAGGTGAGGATCCAGGAGAAGAATCTGTAAAAACTGTTTGCTGTGTTGAAGTGAACACCAAAGCACATAGGAGGCATTATTATACTAAACAGATACTATACTAAGATATTAACAGTTTTTGAAATAATGGACATTCTTATTTTATAGAGGGGCAGATAAAACTTTGGACGTATTTGATGAACGATCACACCCATTTACAGTAAGTGACACTTTTATTGAGGTTGTATTTTTATCAGACTTGTATTTGTTTCATGCTGAAGTCAAAGCCGTCTTTAAATCTTCCCCATTTTGTGTTGCGTTTAGTCATCTTAAGTGTTGTAAAAAGAGCGTGCTGGAATAAGAACTGATCTGCAGCTTTGTTTAGTTAGTGAGCTAGTATGAGTAAATATACTATCCAAATAACAGAAAATATATCTTTTAAGAGATCAAGCAATATTAGAATATGTAAATCCTTTTAACACAGAAGCATGATTTTTATCAAGAGAGTTAAAAATAATTTATAAATCAACTTATATGGTATAAAAATTTTTAAATGTACTTCCTCAGGTACATAATAGCCACATGTGGCTAGTGAGTATTGTGTTTAACAGCTTAGGCTTCGAGCCTCATGGTTACAGGAAACTGTATTTTCTCAAAATTTATTGCAGAAAAGAATGACATACGATCAGTAAGACATTAAAGCCTATGAGTAGCTTACATTTTGGATAGAATTATGTAGGGCAAAGAGTAAAGAAGAACAAACATTTTCTGAACTTTAGCTTATGTGATTTTTAAGTGAATGTTGATGAGTATTAAATCATTACGGTATTTTAAGATCCCACTGTTCATATTGTGAAAACTGAAAGACATCTCACCAATCAAAATTATTGTAAATGATTCATGGCACAAATGTAAACACTGCTGTCTTATGAGCACTTGATGTTTTCTCTTCAATGGATACTTACATTGCATCCTTTCTTCTTTCAGCAAGACCAGCTTCCGGAGGAACACTTTATGTATGATCCTAGACACAAAGTGATTTTCAGATTTGTTCATATTCTGTTTAAAGCCAAAAAGCTAAGAGCTGAGTTAGCAATCGTTAGTTTGGTAAGATATTTTCTATTTGTAAAGCATCTTTAGAAATTGGTCTTGTAGAGCAACCTGGCCAATGTGCTTAAACCCTGTCTCTACCAAAAATACAAAAATTAGCCAGGCATGGTAGCATGCCCCTGTAGTCCCAGCTACTTGGGAGACAGGCAGGAGAATTGCTTGAACTCAGGAGGCAGAGGTTGCGGTGACCTGAGATCAAGCCACTGTACTCCAGCCTAGGCGACAGAGCAAGACTCCATTTCTAAAAAAGAAAAGAAGTTGACCTTGTAAACAGGGTAGTATGGTCCTGTTTTTAATTGAAAGTAGGTTTCTGAAATTATCTCAGAACTTTAAGAGAAACTTATGAAAGCAAATGCACACATTTGGGTCAAATCATCATTATGGCTTAAAATGTTGCCATTGATCTTCTCATTATAGAACAATTGCCATTAAAGGCAGCAGGAGGGATTTCTGATTTCTCCCCACATACTTCAGTGCACACATACACAGTGCGCACACCCCCTGTTGGAGGCATGTGGAGGGCTTGGGATGGGGAGTAGTAACAAAACCATCCAGTTGATGGGCAGGAATGGATGCCATTGTAGGTCTAAGCTGAGTCCCAGAGTGTACCCCCAGGCAATTCTGATGTATATTGTGACTGAGAGCTACTGCCCTCAATTCATTGTTCCTTGGATGTGTTAATCTACCCCTGCTGGGCAGGGTAAGTAGCAGAAATATTTGACCTATGATTGTGATATGGCCCCTTGCTTAACCTAATGAAACAAAATCTCTGTAGGACATAAAAATAAAAGGCGTTTACTTTCTAATCAAAACCAGAAGTATTCTGGTTTTTCACAAGAGTTCTTATCACAGCACTTCAACTGAGCTAAATCAAAGGCCAGTGCTCTGTTTTGCAGGTATACATTAAAAGACTTATACGTTATGCTGATATTGACATTTGTCCAACCAACTGGAAGAGGATTATCTTAGGAGCCATTCTTCTTGCCCTCAAGGTTAGGAGTGAAGAGGCTGTATGCCTTGAGGACTACTGCGAGCTCTTTGAGAACCTTACAGTTGAAGATATGTGAGTTTGCACGGCTTTTGTGAACTTTCTAACCGTTTTTGAATACTTTATTTGCTCCCATAAACTTAAACGCTTTAAGAAATATTTTTAAAGGTTACATTATGCAGATAATAAGAATGGGCATAAATACCACATACTCTTCCTCCCCAGCTTTAGAGCAACAGTTCATATTTTTCACTGTTCATTGGTAGGTCTTGGTAAATTGCTTTTGTAATAATCTCATAAATGGAAAAGTATTTTTCTGGTGAATGTTTTTGGCAAATATCTTACCAGCGTACTACCAGAACATAATAGTATGGTAAATATCCTTATGGCTTTTTACAAGCTGTCTGCAAGTTCCTGTCTCTTTGTGAGGAGCACATGTCTGGCCTTTGAAATAATTGTTGGCCATTGACAAGTCTAGGTCCTCTGCTTTGTGAAGTATAGCTTCACCCTGAGTCGTACATTGTGTATTTGCTTTCGCTGGTGTTCCCTGCTTTTATTTGAAGATCTGCTTTATAGAAATCTTGGATACAGAATAGCCACAGATCCCTGTGTCCCAGTCCCCTCCCTGTTAGGAGTGTTGCATCACTGGGCTGATGAGTTAGGAGTTCCAGTGTTCCCCTCAGGCAGTCTGAGAAACATTGCTGGAGCATCACCCAATGTTCGCCACACTCAGGAGGTTCCCGGGGCCCTTGTGCAACCACAGCAGCACTTGGGGGGGCCCGAGTTACACATGAGAGTGCAAGAAATCTTGCTGAGTCATGGGGTTGCTCACAGCTGGCACCTACATGACACTGAAACGGGCTTCATGGGTCTTTCTTCCACTCTGGCCTCCTGGCTGCTGTAAAGGGAAGGGCCTTAGAGCTGGTTGGCAGGGTGAGCCAGGGAGTCATTTCCAGCAGAGACTCTCACAGTGTCCACCAGACAGAAAGAATGGCTTTGTGGGTGACACTTAGGAAAATCTGAAGGAACACCCCTTGATGACATTGAAGCATATGAGGCATATGAAGAGCAAGATCTTCAGGCAGTGGCAAGAGGTTTTTGTTTTTGGGTTTTTTTGTTTGTTTGTTTTTATGTTTGCCTGTTACTCCAGATAAGACTGTCATTCAGAATGTATGCAGTCACAGAGGTGGAGCCTGATGGCTGAATAGAAGTCTCTGCCAATTGTGCTCCCCACAGGAATAACAAATCTAGCAACTATCTAAATAAAGAAGCACCTTCATAAGAACTTAAAATTAGGTAAATTGTTGTATTTGACCGGAGCGTAGAAAGTTACCACAAGACAAAATTATGCCGGATTGCAGGGTCATTTATTATGCTGGCAACCACAGAGGACTCATGTC